AAATACAGAGCCCTGCCTGGAAGAAGCTGGAGCCATGGGGCATGGACAGTTGTCTGAGTCCTGGGTGTTTTGGAACATTGAGAAACCTTGGCTTGACCCTTCTCCTCATTCCACCAATTTACTAGGCAGCTTGGGAAGAGAGCCTTCCTTGTGGGTCCCAGGCCCTCTCATAGGCCTGCCATGCTGTCCTCTGATGTCAGGGATGTAGAGGCAAAGCACTTGCTCTTCTCCCAGTATCCCCATCTGTGTCTTGGCCTGGCTGCTCCTCCAGGGCTCAGAGCTACTTCAAGGGTCACGTGTCATGATAGGACCAGGGCTGGAAGACCACCACGCTGGACAACAGACTGGGAGAGGGGAACGTTCCAAACAGTCCATGATGGAAGTGTCGAAGGGGGATCACCCCTTGGCAGATTGACACCATCGGTGTCTCTCTCTGGTCTCTTTCTCCGGACTCCATATGCTCAGAAAGATCAGGAAGGGCAGACTCCGCAGAGAAAAGCGGGGCAGGCGGAGGATGGGGGCAGACCTTTATCACCCCCACCTAAGCTCTCAGTTTGTCTCCTGCCCAATTCACCGGATCCCTTTAAGCTTTCAGAGCCGCACCCACAGAGCCCTGGTCAGCTATTGAGTGGACGGGGCCTCAGCCTGGAGCGGGGCTACTAGGTGTCCGTGCCATGAAGTGAACTCTGGGGCTCAGCCCCTCTCCCGGGTTTAGAACCAAAACCAGAGAAAAGCGATGATATCTATTGGGCAAAGGATGTCCCTAACTCCCACAGAGGCCAGAATAGCAACATGATCTTTGATTAAAACTAAGTCTATGTCTCACCCTGTGGAAAGCACCTCATTGTCATCGCACTGTTAGGAGCACCCAGCTATGAGAGATGATGAGGATGAGAAATCTGGGACTGGGTGCATATCTAGTCAGTCTCTGTACCTCTAGCCTTCCTGATTCTACCCCTACTCGGAGGGACAAATGGGTAAAGTGGTCCCCACTCCATGGGACGAAGGTTGCCCACTTGTAGTCCCTCCTCTGATCTGGGAACAGAATCTTTTAAGAGGAGGACACCCTCTCTGGACACAGCCTCATGTCCACGGTGCCATATCCAATGTGGTCCTCTGACCTTGGCCCCGTTCACTGTCTTTGAGGTTCAAGTCTCTGACCCCATGCAGGTAGAACCCAAGGCAAGTCCACAGGTGGGGATGCTGAAAGGTGAGATCAACACTATGCCACGCAGAAGTCTCCTTTGGGTGTTCCGTGAGCCTACTGGTCAGGAGAGGGTGATGTGCTTGGAGCGAGGGAACCCTGAGTTTGAATCCTGCCTCTGATGGTAATCGGTCACCTGTGGGAAGTCAAAATTCACTGATCCTCTTCTTCCTTCTCTGTCTTCCCCTCCCTCTCTGTCGCTCTTCCTTTCTTTACTTCCCCCCTGCTTTCTCCCTTTAGCCCCCCACTCCTTCTCACTCTCCCCTGCCTCCTGACCTGCAATAAACCAGGAGGGAATGAATTTGCCAGAGGGTGTACTGCTCATCCTTTGATAAAGGGGATTATTATTCAAGCTTCAGCCCCTGGAGCTGCAGGTGGGAAGAGGGGTATTCTGGGAAGAGGGAACAGCAAGTATACTCCCCCTCAACCCTGCCATTGGAAGGATCTAGAAGGACGAAAGGGTTTACACGTTGGGCTGCTTAACCATAAGGTCCAGCAGCTGCACCTCGGGGAACAGATGAGGTATTAGAATCCAGTGACGAGTTATGATCTGGGAAACCCAAAGCGGTGGATCTAGTCTACCCACTGAGTCTTGGTGAGGGAGAACTGGCTCCGTGGCAGTGAGGTGGGTTCACCAGGCAGAAAGAAGGAGCCTGCATTGTGCCGGGGAACGCCCAGCAGCAGGAGCACACTGGGCTCTCAGTTGTCCTCTCAGGGCAGGCGGGTGCACCCCGTCAGATGGCTTCTGGGAAGAACCCTTAGACTCGATGTTGTTGTTTTTGGTGGTGGTGGTGGTGGTGCCATGAAGCCGGTGGCCAGCCATGGCAACCCTCCACACAACAGAAGGGAACACTGCGGGTTCTGTGGCATCCTCACCATGGTACCTACGCCTGAGCCCAGCGTGG